CAGACCTTTTTTGCACCCAATGTACCCCATATAATGATTTCCGACTTTCCACCTGACTTTAAACCGCTTAGGTTGGTCAAAATATGTGACATTTTAATGAAATTAAGTGGACACGTTTTCTAAAAAGTTTTAAAATTATATTAATGCCTTGCCGCTCAATATAAATTAAATTGGTTTTCATCTAAACCTCATATCCCCAATATAATAATGAATTCCGATCCTTTGAATAATGAATGTTGAATTCTTTCGCAATATTTTTTTTTAATATAAAGTTGAAAGTATTCAGCCGGCTTTGATCCTTGCAATTTGCAAGAGTATAAAATATTCGGTTACACCCGAACTTGAACCATCCTTATTTGTTATAAAAATAGTTTATTTTTTAATTAGACCAAAGCAACCATTATAAAACCCGCACTAAAGCCATTTTAAGAAATTAATCTCATCTTTTATTCTCAACTTAATGCAATTTGAAAATAACATTTTTTGGACTTCCGCTTTCTCATTCTCACTTCGATTCTTATGCCCAGCTACATCCAAGTCTCCCCACAATATTTGGCTTTGTACCTAACCAAATAGTCAACATATTGGCAAAATTGTTTTATTTGTTTTTGTTTTTATTGGATCTTATTATGTGTTTGCGGCTACCGGATGATTATTGTTGTTACTATTGCTCTCGGCAGTGCATGACTCCTTCGTCTTTGGCAGAAAAATTTTCGAACGCATGTCAGACATTTAAGCCGGAATCCGGAAAATAACTTAAAGGACATTTTCAGATGATTACTTGCACTTGTATACACAATGAACGACAAAAGTATGTATGCTAGCACGTTTGTAGAATCTACGTTTACGATTGTTTGTGTGCAACAATTTTGTTAGTGCGACAACATTTCCGCATGCTGTCCACATTAAAACAATATGGCACCGATAAACGTTTTACCGAGAATTGTTCAATTCGATTTACTCGCCTCATGTGATGCGATGGACAGTGTTGCCATATAAGTGTGAAAAAAACCTATATATACATATATTAAGGTGATGTGCAAACCGTCAACCAAAGGATCGGAATTCATTACATTAGGGATATATGCATCCAACTGCATTCATATTAAGCGCTAAGCCACGCAATTTTTAAAAAAGCTTGTTCACTTAATTTCACTAAAATATAACACACTTTGAAGCGACGTGTTTAAATCCGAGTGACTGTCTGTCCGTCCGCCTGCGCACGCTGTAACTTGCGAATAAAGTGAGATATCTTAATGAAACTTGGTGGAAATATTTTTTGGCAACATAAGAATGGTATTACAAAGGAGCAGAATCGGAACATTACCACGCTTACAAAATGCCGTTAATCGAAAATCTATATAGTGCCATAACTAAACTCCACAATAAGATAAAAAGACTGTTATTTGGTACAGCGAATCGCAATAATTTAAAACTTTAAATGTTTTTAAAAAGCGGGCATGGCCTGCCTTCTAATAGGTTTATTGTGCATATATCATTCATTTATTGTGCATATTCACTGTTAAAGGAATAATAACCAAATTTGCTCAGGACAAATAGTTTTAGTACCTCTACCGACACTTTGAAAATGGGTGAATTTGGATTATAATCACTCCCCATACAACGGTTTTGTTAAAGACTACTTAAGGTGCAATAAATCAATAACTAAATCCGGCAAAACATAAAATAATTCCTTATATAAACTGACAGAAATATTGACCGAAAAATACTTGTATTATTGGGACAAAAGTGTGGTATGCTCAATATACGAAAAATATAGCACAAACCATCCCACGTTAAATCAACTTTTTCCAATTGTCATCATCTTCATTTCGAAAGAAGTACGGATCGAAGATTCCACTACACTAAAAACCACACCAAACTGTCAATTTAGGTGAATGTAATGGTTGTTTATGAAGAATACGTGGTTATGCACCAGAATCGACAGTTTTGTTTATTTACCGTACCACTCAGATGAAAGTGAGCCTCGTCGCAGAAGATGATTATCTTACAAAAATCGCAATTGGAGAACGATTATTTTGATAATAAATTTGAATAATTTTAAAACATTGTTCTTGATGAAATCGTAAACATTACTGAAAACAATTACCTTTTATGACCGTCTGCAGGAATATACAAATAACTGTGCAAATGTTCACGTCTTCCGTGTTGTGGCTCGGACGTTATACGAGTACATAACGATAGAGCTTCATAAAAGCTTAATAGAGTTCATGAAAGCATAAAAGAGTTTAAGAACCAAGCCGAAGCTATTAAGGAATAAATCGAACGCTTATTTTCTGAATTCCTTTGTATATCGTATAGCACCAAGAGATTATGAAAGCTATATTGAAAAATATATCCTTCTATATTTTTTGAATAAAAATAAACCTTTGCTGTTTCTGTGCCCCTTCATTCCATAAATCGTTATATTTTTCGCCTTTCATTGCAGCGTTTATTTTATTACCGCTAAGTAAGTTAATCCCATTAATTCTCCATCTTAATAGCAATTAAAGAACAATCACAAACCAAAACCCACTAGGGGATGCAGTAGCACAACTATTAAAGTGTCAATAACACTCGCAATTTTTCAGTTACCTACATTTACAAAGTTTTGAGCGCATCTACATAATTACCGTGTATTATTTCAATGCACACGATATCGCAACGTAATGATGTAACGAATTAGGGTGACAGTTAATTGCCGTCAGGCAGACTGCCCGTGAATGAGGTCGCCTGCAACCCTGAAGCAAAGTAGTTACGTACAACTGAATAACTAAGGTGCTTATATAGTCATTTGAGTGCATACGAGTATATATGTATGTATGTAAGTGTACCTTATATGGTTTACTTTTATGCAATAACAGCAATGCAAACACGTTATACTAAAAAAATTTTGTTAGTTCCTACAATAAAATATACACCAACAACTTAGTTTGTGGCAACTTTACATCGTTCGTAATATGGCGAGCTAAGTATCTTGTGACTAGGATTTTTGGTGGTTAAATATTTGTATGTGCACAGAAAGAGGATAGAGACGCGTCCACGTACTAATGTTTCGATTTGCGCTACTACACCCTAATCCCAAAGTCGCTTGTCTTCTCGCAAGTTAAAAACAGCTCAAAACACCAAGTAAAAACAGGTCTTGGCACATTTGCATTATTAGACAGAAGAACGACTTTAAAGCGGTAGCATTTACCACCGTTTGATTGACATAACCTCAACTGGTAATAATAGTTTTGTACTTCGTTTAACAATTCGAAAGTAATCAGATTTTATGTCCACAATATATAATATTATGGCTTGGAGGCTTAAAATAAAGTTTTAACTATACATATAATACCTATAACGAAATATTAAAGATTAATTAGGGCTTCATTCAAGTATTTTATTTATTTTTTCGAATTTTATTATTTTTTATTATTATTCAGAGAATCATTTTTAAATTTTCTAAACGGTAATTTTCCGTTTTGTAAATTATAAATTGTATATAAGAAAAAAGGAGACAATTCCTTTTTAGAAGTTCATGATGATGAAGTAGATTCCATTTGTCATGAAATTACTAACTTAGCAAGAGAGTCTAATTTTGATGGGGTGAATAAAATTGAAAAAATTAATTGCTAGCTTCTCATAACCAAGAAATTTCTGACGAGGAATTGATGCAAATGGATTTGGAAATATCTAACGAAGAAGACAGCTCGTTAGATATAGTGAGCGTCATAATTTAGGTAACTTCACAGCAAATTTCTAAAGCATTGAATCCAATTGACGATGCAATGGAGATTTTTTTTAAAAAACGATCTTGATAGCGATAGAAGTGCAAAAGTTTCTGGTGCGGTAGCAAATGTTATTAATTGTTACAAGAACCTTTAAAAGTTGAAATTCTGGTCTTTCTTATGTTTTTAAATGAATTAATAAAGTTGTACTTTTGTTTTGTTATTTAAATATTCTTATTTTTTAACATTTAAGGACTGGATGCAAAATACGGTAGCCTATCTTTGATCTCTCTATGATTTCCAATTAAAATAGCTATTCACTTTGCGTGGCTTCAATTTGAGTCGCGATAATTTGCAACGTATCTACGACGCAAAACCGAGGGGTTACTGTATGTGTTACCTCATTCATTAGATTCTTGCAGAAAAATATAAGGATATCAATTTATTATTTCACTGCTTTCCGATATAAAAGTATTTTAAAAAAATTTCCAATTGACTACTTTAAAGTATTTTTATAAGGTCTATATGAATGATAACTACCCATCATTCTATGAACGTTGTTACACTGTTATTCTAAAATATTGTACTTCAAATGATTAGTACAGTGAAGGGTATTCCAACAAATTCCAACATCTCTGACAATAAGTAAGATATTACCAGCAAGTAACGACTACCCGAAACTGCAATAATGTGCATATTAAAATGAAAACTAATTTTTGCACATTGCAACTCACTAACCCTATGCGTGAGAAGAGAATGAAAGATCACAACTACACAAAAGATTCCGATAGTAAATTTGGCTTTAAGAAACTCATAGAAACTTTAACAGAAATATCTCTGGTAGCGCTCTCTGGTATTTAAAGTATGATTTAACCGATAGTTGACTCGCAGAGTATGTATATACAAATCTGAATTAAGTTTAATTATTAGCCAAGGTAATCAGATGGGCAGCAGGGAAGATATAAAATCCGAAGATTATAATATGCTTTCCATTCGAAGTTAGGCCGATCTGATTAAAAGCATTTTTGCGAACGAATTCCTAATTGTTCTCAACTTCCTTCCAAGGGGCTTTTGAAATGGGAGCGGAGAGAGAGTTTAATAAGAACACCAAAAGAATTAAAAGCTATGCAGAGTTAGTCCCGTTACTATTTTGGATTGTGTTTGACACTAAAATGATTCTTGAATCATCAATTACAATAATAGTTAGTTTCATTTATGACCAGCGTGTCGTAATCTCGTCTCCATAAAAAAAACTAGAATTGGAAATAGTTGATAAAATCGACAGCGAGTAAATTTAGTTAGTACTATAAATAAAAAAATACCAAGTTTTCTTATTTTATTCAGTCAATCAAAAAATCAATTTAAAAGTTTCTTAAATCAAATTGTTTAAGCTAAATTTAGTACGTTTGAACAAAAAGTAAAATTATCCAATATATTACTTAATTATTATTATTATAAAGTCGTGGTAATAAAATAGAAATGTAATAATGTGTTAATAAAATAGGAACTTAGTCCATTCTCAAAAATTTTCAAATTTTGTCTGTTGAGGGTTGTTCTTCGACAAATTGTTTTCGACCTCCCTCGATTTCTTGCCCTGCGGCTTCCATTCTAATTCGGAGTGAGTAATTTACGTATCACGGATGTTCTGTTGAATTTTGCTTTTCGTATTCTGTTATAATAGAATTGATAATTATCAATATCGACGTGTATATTGCCGTCCGCTGACAGTATGCTACCCCGCTATTCCGCTTGGAGTACACAACGTAGCTTTATAACTATATTTATGAGGGAAGAAGAAACTGCCCACCAACAGATTTTGGTTTTATATATATATTATATAAAGGTCATATAATGAGGCAACATTTTCATCGAGAAAAAAAAAACGCTATAAGATATATTCGCACATCTCTTATGTGGGAGTCATGATTGCTAGGCAGCCAGAATATAAAAGTTTTCACCCACAGAATTAGAAATTTCGCCGCAGTCGTACCTTCTAACTTTACTTAGTCCAACCAGATCTACTCTTAGTCTTTCAGGTTCCTTTGTTAATTGGCAAAATTTACCAATTTGGTGATTTGCACATCATCAACAGTTTCTAACCTATATCCAAGTAGTTTCATTATTTCTTACTTCTTAGGGATATTGAAACAGTTATACTTCATTTTAGTGGGTAATTGATCCAAAACAATATATGTTTCTCGATAGTAGAGCTACTAATTCTGCATTTTATACGTATCGAGCTTGCATCGTCATCCTAAAATCTTCTTATATTTCCACAGTGTGTTTTCTCTCGCATAATAATTTTGAGAAATGAACGCTTAGGGGTGACATTCTTGTCTTTTACAAAAAAAAACTGAATAAAACTATTAATATAGCTTTAATTTTTTTCATATTAATCCATACTAAATAATAAGAGGTTCATCCTGTTTGCGTTTCTTTCCTTTCTTATAGTTCGACCATACATTTGCACTCGTTTTCCCTGAGCACGCCATAAATAAGCCAAGATAACCATTTTGCCCACCTTCTGAGAGATTATACATAAGTACATTTATTTTACCTAACACCACATTCATTGACTTATCTCACCAATTAAATCAGAATGGATATCATAACAGTTTATCAACCGCTTCTGCTAAAAATTATAAAATCAGTTAAATGAAAAACAAAACAACAGTTAGAGAGGATATACAGCGAGAGAGAGAGAGCGCATTCGCAGTCACAGAGCACGGGAGCACGATGTAACGTAGCGAAGAGCGAAGTGCTGATATTAATTAACAGCACTGCAAAGGCTAATGTAAGCAACATTGCAGGGATGAGATTGCAATCCGCACTTTACATGCTGTTGAACATTTTATTACTACAACACCAATAAAGCTAACTTTTACGGCTTCAAGCCGCAAACAAAACCAGTTGGCAAACATGAAAATCGTCTTCCAAGCATAGAGAGACAAGTCCTCCATCCGGCATGTGTGCGCGTATGTTGGTGTGCGTATATTTTCGAATGTGCCGAAGTGCAGAGGAACCTTTGCGCAAGCATTCGGTGAGTGTTTGTTCTACGAGAGTGATTTGACACCGTGCGTATTCTTTCAATGCCACATCGCCAAATGCATAGAAGTCCATTAAAATACATAATGCGTATGCAAGTGTGTATGTAGGCATGACACGCGGCACAGTTTGGTGTAAGCAACGACAGCAATGAAAGCGACGTAACCGACCCTCTCCCGTTCGGTGATTGTCAGAAATTACTTGTGGCGGAAATATTTAATGATCCTTTCTGACTTAATTCCTGCAAACTTCTATACATTTTTTCCCGCACATTACATTCTCCTTTGTCTAGATATTAATTTCGCTTTTGGATTTTAGCGAAAGGACAAAGTATAGATATGTATGTATGAATCTCTCACATAAAAAAATATATGTAAATAAGACAAGAGCATAGGAAGCCAGTGCCTCAAGAAGGGACGAAAACTGGCGCAGGGCGGTGCTGGCAGCAGCGAGTGAGCGCTAAAAAGCAGAAATTACGTGAGCAACGACACCAAGTGGCGAAATGCACAAACATATACATATACACATATGTATGTAAGTATATGCTACTTAAAAATATGTTGCGTGCTAGGAAGGGCCGCAATAAATGAGTGAAATTGAATGCAATACACGAAACAATAAAGTGCCGCCGAAATGAGTTTCTTTTTCACTAGGTAAATATGAGTACCGGTGTTAATAGCAATTTACATACACATACGTGTATACATACATACATATATACAGATGCTCATATAAGCTTTTTTTGCCGTTATACTTGATATGCATGGTTATTGTGTTGCTGTGTATTTTATTTATTGTTGTGGGGGTATATTGTACATAAATATATTTATTTACATACTTACGAACACGCATACATATATACATACGTAGCTACATTGTCTATCCTGTAAAACTTTATCATTTGTATTGCAACTTATTTAACTGAGCTAACGACACGCGATGCTGCCGAAATAACCCCAAACTCCAGCATCGGCCAGCGTGTGTGTAAAAGAAATGTGTCTGTGTGTGGCAAAACAGAAAGTAATAGGCGTTGATTGGATTTTGTTGTTGCAGCTTCCCATAACAGTTATGCGAACGAGAGTACATACATGTGGGAATTAATAATAATAGTGTAGTTATGTGGTTTTATATGGAGGAGGAAGTTTGTTAACAATTTAGGCAAAAAAAACTAACTAAACTATTTATGTGATTATTTGTATGTAAGAGTTTACTTGAACTCACTGTGAGACCTGATTAAACGAGTTTATAAAATTATTTTCAGAAAATCAGAATTTAGTAACAAATTACTTGTGGCGGATCAAATATTTGACAGTTTAAATATAAGTTACCTTCGCATGCCTTATAATTTTCTATTACCATTTCTTACTCTTTACAACTCTTCATCAAAATATGAGAAAATTATAGTAAAATAGAAGTGCTGACTTCTTCTCCTTAACACCTAAAAAAACAGCTGCTTGTATTATAAAACAAAAAAGTTTCCTTCGGCCAAAAAAGCTTTCATATAAGAACTAAATTTTCATCGTTCAGTTTGTATGACAGCTACTCTCAGAATAGATTATCGAAGTTAGGTTATTTGTTAGGGTTCTAGACTGGTCTAGCCTTCTTTTAGAAATATGTATATAATCGAGAAGGATTTGATTTAAAAAACATTTTGGAAAGAATAGCCTCTTCTAATTAGTATTTGTGGTGCACTATGACCCACACCAGCTTTGGCACTGAATGCCTAGTTGCATACTGCACCGGTGGATATAACCGCAAGATGTATGGCCGCTGCCCTCAAACTCATAGAATCTGGATACTTAGATTTCATTCAAAATACTTGGATTACAAGATCGCTGAGCCAACCCCTTACTGTCGCTTCTCTGCTCACATACCTTCGAGGACGGCATGGAATGGAAAGACTCGCTAAAGAAGAGGGGAGGTGAGCTTTTTTACGGATGGATCAAAGCTTGCGGGGAGGGTGGGTAGAACAGTACACTGTCAGGAACTTTACATTAGCTCTAGATTTACCCACGGTAAATCGTTAGAGGTCTAGGAAACTCTTCTCGCTCTTAGCAAAGTCCACCTTTCAATGGTTGTAGGAGTACTGAGTGCACATTCCCCGGTGGGGATTCATGTAGTAAGATAGAATACCGAATCCTCCTCGAATATTGCGCTTTTGCCAAATCAAGGTAAAAACATCTGGGATCTCATATTTTAGACATCCAGGTGAAATAGTGGAAATAGAAATAAAACATTTAAGCTAATTTGTGATGAGCTCAGTTCGTTTCTGCCGATAGCTAATATCCAACTACAACAATTTTCATCTGGACTCAATTCTCAAAGGACTGTATTCGTACATAATAGTCTAAGTGGGATCCTCCGCCATGCCGAGGAATCAACCATCTAACCCAAGCTAACCAAGCCACTGTGTACTAATAAATATTTTGAAATTTATTCTTATATTCACATATACATATGTGCATACTTACAGCTATTAGATTGATACTATCTAAGCAGGTATGCGTTATACACATACTTGTATATCTAAATTTGTTCATGTATGGTAAATATGTTTGCATATGTGAACCTCACCAAGACTTGTGGTCCACTGCTGCATTGGAATACTCCCGCTGGGTTTTGTAAGCGGAGTTTCCAACTCAATGACGCATTTTTCTTAAATCACATTTTCGTCTTCTTCCTACCAGCCGCGTCCCCCCATCCTCCTGAATGTTTATGCTTTGTTTTATGCCATATTTTGATATGCAAGTATCTTTGTGTTTATTTTTATTTTGAATACTCAGCTTCGTGCTTCGGTGACACGCGACACAATCAGTCGTTGATGCACGTGCACGTGAACAGATCGGACGCAGTGAAATCTGTCCTCATGTACCGCTGGGAAACGCCTTTGTTGCATCTTTGCTTCTACGATGCTTCTGACGCGATAACAGCAAATGCCACATGTTCTGACTTTCACGTGCTGCCACAATGTTCGCGATGTGGCTGTTGCTATTTCCATTTAGTAGCGCTTGCTTTTGGTTACTGTTTGAAAGTATATGTATGTTTGTATGTATTTATGTAGCATTTATTTTTCATCGCCCAATGGCCAGTACCAGAAAGCTCTTTCGGGCTTTGATCTAATCCGTCCTATGCTACAACGCCAACAACAGGAACAAGATTAATAAAATATAGGAAACCAATGCACGAAGTGTACTCTTTCAATTCGGTATGTCAGTATGTGTATACAACTCAGAGACGAGGAATGCCCTTAACCTTCGTTACGCTGCTCACCCGCCTTTTTCACTTTTACGCTTGCCTTCCATTCAAGCTACCCTAACAACCACTGAACCAGCCAACCTCCCTGTGAATCCGTGTAATCCCTCTGCGTGGTGTTTTTACTTCTATGTATGTACGTATGTATATATATCTATACCTAGGATTAGTTTTGCAATTTGCTATTCCTGTTGCTCATTCAAGTGTTTGTCGTTTATGTTGTGTTGGTGTTTCTATTTAATTTGATTTGCAACGGATTCCATCCGTTAATGAATTTAATTTAATGATTGTTGCAAATGTTTGTATTTATAGAATTTTTACTTTTCGAATAGTTAAACGCCATTATTATTAAACTCTATATGGATGATTATTTGGCATTTAGCTTACAAGTGGAAGCCAATTAGCTAATGGGTTTATGTCGACGATAAGGATTTTTAGTTTTATAGCACTTTTTTGGGAGGGCAGGAAAATATTTTATTAAAATCGTGAACTCTTAAGAAAAATTTCTGGAAAAAGAAATAGAAATACAATATTTTTTTTTTAGCTTTAAGCTAAGTTTGCATGTAACCGAACAATTAATATTCTCCTATTTTTTTTCAAACAACCGTTACTTTTTATGCACTAGCTAAGCTTAAAATACGAAAAACGTTCTAGGCGGTGAAAAAATTTGAAGATGAGGAACTGTAAGCATTACTATATGAAGATTGTTGCTAAACGCAAGAAGAGCTCGCAAAATCTCTGGGGGTCCCTCAAGCAACGTTTTAAAATCGTTTAAAAGAAATTGGATGTCATATGAATTGAAGCCGAGAGACATTGAAAGACGATTTTGCACGTCAGAAATCCTGCTTATACGTTACAAAAAAAGTTCGGTCGTCATCGGATTGTGATATAGTCTAAAAAGCAAAACCAACGGCAAATCCGAAAATCCATGACGCCATGGTAATGCTCTGTATTTGGTGCGATCAGAAGGATGTGCTGTATTATGTGCTTATAAAACCGGGTGGAACCAGTAAAAGACCGGTTAAATACTATTTGGAAAACGTCTGCTGGAAAGTTTTGCCTCACGAAGGCCCAGACCTTGCCTCTTCTGACTACCAATTGTTCTGGTCGATGTTGGAATACAGTTCACATCAGAATGGCATTAAGTCGTTGAGTATTAAAAATTGGCTTGATTCATTCTTGATTGCCGAGGCACAGTTCTTTTGGGATGAAATTTACAAATTGCCAGTAAGATGGGAAAATATTATAGCTTCAGATGAGAAAATACTAGAAACAATACTATCGTAAATGTTTTTCTTAATTAAACGTTCAAATTTTGGAAAAAAACCCGCAATATAAATAGTTATAAACCCTATATTCTTTTACTTAATTTTTGTGAGGAAAAAGGTTCGCTAACACACTGTTTAGAATAGCATAATCATACATGTAGTATGATGAAAGCTTACGCAGAGCTAATCAAGGAGAGGGATTTCATTAAAATTGTTGTACTTATCTATCTACGAGCATTTAACAGCATATATAAGTCGCAATATAATTTGGAAGATTATTCATTCCAGCGGTAACTGTCCGACAGAAAGGAACTTAAATCGATAAAAGTACTAATATATTAGGTCAAGTAAAAAGTTCGTTCAGTTTTTATCTAAGACGGTGGCCAAGACCGGATTGACGGCCAGGAAGGTTTTGCTGTGTGTTTGGTGGGATTGACAAGGAATCATCTACTACGAGCTGCTCCCTTATGGCCAAACGCTCAATTCGACCATCTACTGCCAACAACTAGATCCCTTGAAGGCAGTTTTTTGAGGGACGCAGCCTTCTACGAGAGGGGTATAATGAAGTTGGTATCTCGTTGTCAACAAGTTTACGAACAAAACGGCATATATTTGACTTAAATCGCACAAATGTACACAAAGTTATCATCTTTTGAAAAATCAATAAAAAACCAAAAGAACTTTTTACTTGACCTAATATATACGGGTACTACTATTTACACAGATTTGTTAAAATGAATTTTTGGATTAACTTCGAATTCAAACCAATCGTTCCCAGTATACGATACAACCATTTGATTATAATTTATACCCAGTAGTGGAGGTAAAAGAACAATCCGTCTTCGTTAGAGAGGGTTATAAATATTTCAAAACTTAATGTTAATGTCAGGAGCCTAAATATCAGTGATGCTAGTGGAAATCATTATGAGGACAGCCTAATACTGCTACCACCGCCCTGTGTTGAAAAATTTAAATGGATGGAACCCACGTGAACGTCAAAGAAACTGAAACTTTAACTAAAGTAGCATATCCGATAAAAACCACAACAACATTAGAAAATTATGGTTGAGACGAACGAAATAAACATGATACGGACCTGAACAAAATTTTAGAGAAAATGGCTGTCTTCGCCAAGCGTTACTCTCCAGTGAATCGAACAAACTATAATAGATGCTCGAACGAACGGACAGCACTTGTGGTAAAACCCATGTCTTCTGACGTATTCGCAATATTGTAATGATTCTTTCTTAGTGAAAAAAATATTTTTTTCATGTTAAAATTTTATTTGTCATTTGAATCATTCACAATAGTAAAAGTGAACTAAAATATACAAAACAAAACTTGGCAGCATTGAAGATAGAAGCTATACCACTTTAATGATTGGCCGTAAGCCTCGCGTATGAATGTGCTTAGCAGTTATTTTGTAACTTTTTATTGTGCAAACGAATAAAAAAACTACAATACTTATTAAAAATTTAATTTATATTTTGATGATTTGCGAAGTTTTCACACGAAATGGTATCATTTCTAACGAGCTTTTATTCGGTTTATCTTGGTAATGATGCTGATATGAAGCACATCTTGACAGAAAGTAGATATACGAGGGCGATCCCATAAAAACTTAGCTTACTGTTTAGTTTTCAAGTTTCCATAGTCTCCTCTAAGCTCGACTTACTTGACTAGCGATTATCCAACCTCTTGAAACCGTCTGAAAATACGTTTTCTGGAGATCTGCAATGTAGGCCTCCATAGCGGTTATAAATATATATTTTAAAATTTGGAGCCAAAATTCGTTCAAGTTGGCCGTGGAAGCGACCTACCCCAAACTACTAAAAGTGCTTTAATTGTCATAATCCTTCTATTTGCGGCCACTCCCACATTTAAGTGACATTATATATCCCAGCAACTACTCAACCATATAGAACCAAATTTGGTACGTATTACGGTTTAAAAATAGGACTACAACCACGTCAACTTATAATATATCATTCCATCAATTTCTTTCACTTTATAATAATCTATCATATACAAGTATGTACATATATAAAAATTACGTGTCACGCCTTGTCCTTGACCTGTTCATTAAAATAGTGGTGTTGTCGTTAGGAGTCGATAAATTAATAAATTATTAGACAGTTGCGATAAGTTAGTGTATTTAAGGGATTTAATAATTTTCGGATGAAAGTTTTTTGAAATTCCAGTGATCTTTCCTTTTAGTGAGTAGAAGAAGATATTGTTCTTTCAGAGAATCGAAGCTATACTGAGATACAGCAATGATAAAACGAAGCATCGGATTATACGATATGTAAAAAACAAGCCCTAAGCATCCTTAAAAAATATAAAAAGTTATTTAAATTTGTCGAACTACTCTTACAAATTGTAGGACGCTATTTGAAAACAATTTGAATATAAGCAGTCCTCGGAACGTAAACTTTTGTCAAAGAAACATGTGGCTGAATATGGTGTGTGAATAAACATCGCTCAAGAACATTTCAATTAGCCATCTACAAAATGGCGGAGTGTGCTGTGAGTTAGTGAAAGACAAATTGCTTCTTTCTGAAGGAACCAGGTCCAGAAAGACTGTCCGTTCACTACCAAACACAATATGTCATTCTAGGTACATTACCAAACCTTTTAAACATGATGGTCTGTGCATTATGGTATGCGCCTGCTTTTCGTAACATGATGTCGGTCCTATAGATTTGTTCTATGGCAGCATGGACTGAACAGTGTATGTAAACCTACTGAACTATGTTATGTTACCATTTGCCAGCTGGGAAATGCCTATAAAAAGAGCAGGATAAAGACGAAACTAGCTAAGGTGTGGTTTGTATCAGAAAAAATCGTCGTAATATCCTGGCCAGCGCTGGCATTGGACCTGAATCCAATCGAAAGTTTATGGGAATTTATCGAATGTAGCAACAGCAACTCTATCAAGTAGAATACGACTTTGGCTAGTGGTCAAGAATACATACGCTGAAATACCTATGAAGCGTTGTAAGGATCTAATAGTTATTATGCAACTTCCCTGTATGGATGCATTAAAAAATAAGGAGTTTGCAACCAAATATTAATCAATCGAAAACATTTACTATATGAAATTTGAATTATTAACTTGATTTTTGTCGTTTTTTCCTTCAACAAAATAGGCGTTACTATTTTCGAGAATAGACTAAATTCTAAATAAATTTTATAAATAAATCTACATACATACTTTCCAATAAACCTTGGACGCAACCGTGTGCCACCCTCATATTACACAAACATACAAATTAGTACGTGATAGAAGCAAACATTGTTACACATTTCTATGCTCATTAAAATAAACGCTAAAGTCATAAAGTGAATAAAACACATTAAATATATTGCCAAGTTAATAATTACAATAAAACATAAATTATAATTTACCAAAAAAATCACTTGCCGTTATGCGAGGGGTTAAGTGAAAAATGAGGGAAACAATGTCACCCTGCATAACCGCGCCAACAACAATCCAACAATGGCATAACATTTTAAATATATGTAAGTATGCGTACGTATGTGTGTGTGTCCATGTGCGTGTTTGAATTGTCTACACTTATGGCTATGTATGTTAGTAAAACAATCTCATTTCGCACAAATGAATTTCAAACTCACACTCCCACCAGCAGTGCCCCTTACTCTCTCTCGTCTTCGACCACCCTCCCGCAACCACTGTGCGGATAAAAGTCGCACGTGAACCGAACAAAAGGCATACAGGCATCCGTTGTTGAGCGAAGCCACTTCCGCCTCGACGAGGCATAGGATGGCACTGACAAGCGAGCCAGGAAGACAGATAGCCGAGCAGACTGACAGACAGTCAAGAACAGCATATACACACATACTCTACATATACATATGTATATATACTAATATTAATAATATAGCACGAAAACAATTGTTGGCCTCACAAGTAAAATCCAGAGCCAGTCGAATAAAAGGGAACCACTCACTACTCACTTGTCAGCACCCGCAGCCATATGTATGTTTACCAGACATCCTTACAAATATGCCTACAGGGTAAGAAGGTAACTCAGTTTAGAAACGGAACTGATGCTCATAAATTGAACCGAAAGAGTCCTTGTTGAGTGGATAGGTTGGATCAGCGGAAGTATGGGTGTTGTGGCACGCCTTCTACTCGCAAGCGCAGTGTACGTGTGATTTGTGCAAGCATTTTGTGGGACAAGAAAGATTCAAAATGTTTTGGCGCGTTTGCGGAAATTCGCAGACTCCTCTTGGTGTGTATGTATGTTGCCGCAAAAGGAGCGGAGTCCTTTGCTTTCGCATTTGGCCTTTCTCAGTTTCTGTTGATATGTCACTCTTTTGCTCGGAAGTGTGAGTGTATGTATGTATTGTTTGCTGATGCACGTTCGATTTCGCAGCCTTTACACCCTGCAACACATATGTGTGGCACCCCTCGGTTTCCTGCAGCCATACCCAAGTCAAAGCGGTATTTTGCTTTCACATATCATCGTCTAGGAAAACCTAATGTACATACATATATTTGTATAAATACTTACTTAGTACTCATCCATACTTTTATACTTGCAATGTCCCTTCCGTTGCCACCAGACTGGTGTGTTGATATTATTTTCAGATCAATTGAAATCTCTTTTCATGCGAACACAGAAAGATTGAAAGCAATTTTCGCAGAGAACTCGCTTTCTAAATTGTTTGAGACAGATTTTTCAAAGCAGAAAATGATCAGAAAAAAATGAGGCTGATGTGTTATATTTAGATGATATGTGAAAATACAAAATGCGTTCCAAAGTAAACAGTAAAAAAGTAACAAAATAAACTCTAGTGGTGCCATCTATATGGCGTTAGAATCTGCTATCCTTTATCGACTTCCAGTAAAAATTTCATGACATTTCATCTCTCGGAACTGAAGTTATTGCGTTTTAAGTGTCAGTATGTTGTTTTCATCGGTGCGAAAATGAGCTTCGAACAAAGAGCCAACATAAAATTTTGTTTTAAAATTGGTAAAACTTTTACCGAAACGTTTCAATTGATGAAACAAGTTTATGGCGATAATTGCCTATCCCGTAGCGGAGTGCACGAGTGGTTT